GCCGGTCGCCGGCTCCTGTGCTGCGGGACTTCAGGCCTTTCTTCGGCAGCGCTCTGTTCCGAGAACAACTGCCGGGACTCTGATCGGTGAGTAATCGAAAATTTTCAGATGTCTGTTACCAAATCCTGTCACGATCGAGCGACGTTACCAGATCGGAAGGACCATCCGTTAGTGCCACTTTTTAATCTCTAAGATCGTTACGAATTTACAAATTTGACCTGGCTGGCCTTGCTCTGCAGGCTGGGGTGAAGGAGCCTCTTTCAAAATGACTCTGAAGCGTCACATTCTGAAAAGTCAGTTGCACATTCTCGTCTGTTCTGTCAAGTGAAATGCGTGCGATTCGCTTCGTGCGATACTGCTGTGGCAGCCACACTCCTGAAATGTAATAGAAGCTGTTCTCCTTTTTTAATACTGTAAGTAATTCTGGAAAAAAAAAACCCACCCCAAACATTTCTGGCTGTATTTGAGCTATGAAAAAGTAATTTAACTGGGGGAGATAGGCAGTTGTCTCAGACTGGTGTTATCAGACTGGCCTGTGGTACCTTCTCAGTCCCCTTTAAATAACTCTTTGATTTGTTTTTCAAAAATCTGGCATGTACCACTTTGTGAAAAACATTTATGGACTCAGAAACTAACTTTTAGACTGGGGTTATTTGCATGTTATCAGCTGGAACAGTCCTCTGAAACTAAACTAAAGGGGTTTTGCTCTGTACTCTCACTGATTGTTTTTCCTTTTCCACCTCAGAAATCATGTGGAATTTCTTCCCTGTCATACATTCACTGTTTGACTTGAAATGTTTAAATCAGTGAATCATCTGCCTTCCTTCACAGGTGCCCTCAGAACATGTCTAATTGGACAAGTTTGTGGTATGTCTGGTAAGCGTATTATTAATCTTACCAACTCAGAATAATTTGAAAGTTATTATGAACGGTAATTGTAGTAAGGCAAAGGAAACACACCTCTCTCAGGCAGGATGGAAGAAGGGGTTTCTGCTCGGTTTTATGAACACTTGCAGTGGAACATAGTACAGATGAGACCCCAGGGGAGATAAGGTGTCAGGCAGGGAACAGCATTCATCTGGGGATAGGTCATCTTTCCTTTCTGAGCACGCTGCAGGTCAGCTGTGGGGCTTGTTTGTTCTTCCTAAATTGACGACTTTGCTGAACACAACAGCAGCAACACAGCGTGGACTTGTTGGGGCTCGGCCCCGCGTTGCCTCGTGCTCTGCCTTCTGCGGGAGGAGAGCCCGTTACTTTATAGCTCTGTGTTTTCGTTCTGAACTCAAGCTGCTTACAAACTGGTTTTACTGGCTGTTGGAATGACTGAAGGGGGGAAAATAGTGATAAGTGACAGGGTAAGCTCTTGTCACAAGTGAATTGTCTCATCTCTTGCCTGACACGTGTGTTAGAGGGGTCCTGGTTCCAGCTGGGATAGAGTTAATTTTCTTCATAGTAGCTGGTGCAGGGCTGTGGTTTGGATTTAGAGTGAGAATAATGTTGATAAGACACTGAGGTGTTAGTTGTTGGTAAGTAGCGCTTAGCCTAAATTCAGGATTTCCAGTGAGCAGGTGCACAAGGAGCCAGGGAGGGGGGAATACAACGCAAGATAATTGACATTACTGGCAAGTGTGGGCCAGAAGGGATTGTGCCGGTGGTCAGTACTACTTCAGCTTGGGATTAAATGTTTGTCACCCAACTTTCTAATTCAGGATCCAGCAGCCATTCAGAACTAAACCCGGGAAGTTTGGCCTGTCTTTCACCCATTTAGAGTGCAATTCTCTTCAGCTCTGGAAGAAGTAAAACCTTGAAAGTAAACCGGTGAAATTACAGAAGGAAAACAGTGAAATTATAGTAATCTCCCTCCTTCTCTAAGGCTCATCTTGCTGACTGTGTTCCTGCTCCTGCTCTGTGGGATCGCAGGAAGCTGCATCAAATTCTGCTGCCAAAAGAAGAGGTTCCCAGTTGAGACCTTCCCCAGGCACCCGTGTGATTTGACAGTTGCTGCTGCTGACAGTGACAGCACGCCCCACAGCACGGTGACCTGTAAGTATCCTCTGGGAGTCAACTCTTCAACAGCGCTTTGCTATCGAACGTGTGCCTGGAGTTCAGTGCTTAGCCCTTGCAATAATGGGGACTTTCTGGTGTACTCCCAGAACAACTCTCAGCCCCATAGGGCGAACAGGAGAGATTAAGGAAGGTCATCAGGGCTACACAGTGAGTGAGGGCGGAAGATGAGTAGGATTTAACACAAAAAGAAGTCCAACATTTCTTGGAGAAAAGCAGGGTTAGCCCTGTATGTATCGGTGTTCCATGCAGGTGATTAATTTTCTTTTTTTAATTCCTTCCCAGCATATAGCTCATTTCAGTACCCTCTGAGTGTCCCTACTCCTCCAATATTTATGGATATGGATAAGAACACCATGTCCCCTCCAGCTTACAGTCTCTACACAATGGACCTGCCACCATCTTACGATGAAGCTGTCCAGATGGGTAAACAGTGCATTGAAGTGGCACAGGTGAGCCAGAAACTCAACGACACCGCTGAGCAGGTGACACCAGGTGAGCTGAATCCCATCCAGTCTTCACCTGATGCAACCAACAGAGATCCAGCAACACAGGCAAGTTCAGAAAATTCAGAAGATGCAACACAAGAACAGCTGCGGCTCTGACTCCTTTCAGTTGGGGAGTAAAGGAAGGGAAGGACTGTGAGAGTGTAAGAAGACATGAAGAGTTCGGTTTCATAAGCAGGTCATGATGGAAAGATGTTTCCTCTCATGCCCTTGCAACGATCTGTCAGAAGAAATCTTTTCTGTGACTGCTATAAACTCCAGGTAAAACTTCTGCAAGGATATAAAGTAAAAGGGCAGCACTTTAAAAGTGCCTGTAAAAGTGGGACATGAATGCTTGTTCATCTTCTGATTAAAAAAAAATCATTAATTCTTTGTGTCCAGCATATTGCAATTAAAAAACATGAGGGGAATTTTGCCATCTTGAGAACACACACAGAGTCGGAACAGTATAAACAGCAAGTTGTTCCGGAACAGAAGCTTCCCAAACCGGCGTGGAGAGGGGAATCCTCACAAGTCACGCTGAGCAGCCTCTGTAGTTTCTCTTCTTCTGAGAACTGTCCCTAAAGCCACTGGAGTGCAAATCGCTGCATAACGCAGACCGCAGGGAGATGCAAACAAGGACAGGAAAGTGTGTGTGGGGAAGTGCATTATGCTGTGTTTCACAGCTAGAGACAACGAGTGAGACATGAGAAAAGAGACTTTCGTTGTTGTTGTTGGTCATGAGACCTGAAGGGATTGTTTTTCAGGGTTTTTTTTAATTTTTAGACTTCTGTTTTCAAGATGAGCTGGCTTGTGAGTGATCCTTACTACTTATTTTTGCCAGTTAAAGTACAATTTAGTCTCAAAGAGACATACACATTGTTAAGTATTACTACTGTGTTTCAAATAATCATAGAATGTTTCAAAGATGCCTTTATACTTTGTGATCTGCTCAGGTGTCAGGGTCTCAGTCAGTGCAGAAAAGGAAAAATCAAGGACTCCCGGCAGCTTTTGCCAGTTTAGTATGCAGGGGAGCTCGGTAATGTGCAGGGTGATACAAATCATGCTCTGGCTGTGCCATCTAGAACGTTAGGAAAGTACCGTAGTACAGGCTGGGCAATAGGATGAAGAAATTAGTTTCTAGGGATGATTCTTCATGAACTACTGATAGCGAAGATAACTGCTGTGCATCATTTTAAAACTGGGAGCTTGGAGCTCATTACAGTGGTCTCGGCCCAGACAAAAATAGAGGCTGTGAGAGGCCTTTAAAAAAAGACGTTTTTCCTTTTCTTGCCCCACTCACATTCCAAACAGGATGAATTATGTCCACTCCCGAGTAGTGATTTTCTTTGAATCCAATTTAACAAGGTGCTAATTTGGTTACCTTTAGGCACACAAACGATCTCCAGGATGGTTCATGCTATGGGATAAGAGCAGGAAAGCAAGCGTGAACTAGGTGTTGTTAATGCCTGCGATGTGAAGTGTGGAATGCGAGGTCAGAGTTAATGTTGACTGACGTGCTACTAACAAGAATCTGACCGCTGGTCTTCATTTTTGTTGAAATTTTGGTAGATGTGGAAAGGGGCTACCTTCTGCAAATATCTGTCAGTCATAAGCACTAGAGGTGGTGAGCACAAAATCTTGCACAGCTTGTAGAGGACTATTCTCTGTCAATCATTGCTGCAAGAACTACCCTGGAAATGAGCACTAATGATTTAAAAATGAAGATCCCTCTGCCAGCCAGCGGGACTGAGGCTAGAATCTCTGCTACGCACTCGTGGCGTGTGAGCTGTTCATGAGTCCGGCTCCCCAGAGAGGTGTTGGTTCTATATTTAACCTGCATATAGCTTACTATGAGAGTTGCAGGAAGAGATTTGTTTAACAAATCTGCTTCTCTTCTGCCTCTTCTCTGTCATTCTTAGTTATACTTCTATTTTATTCTCTCCTCTGCCTTTTTTTTCTGTGTCAAGATGGAGTCTAGGCAAAACCCAGTGTAACCTTTTGGGCGTCTCTAGCTGCAAGAGCAGTATGTGCCCAGTCCTGGGTGTCCCCAAGTCATAAATACAGCAGATGCATTTTCATTTCTTGAAATTTTCCATCAGGATAGTACTTGGAAACAAATCCTGTGCCTTTCCAAAGAAAAAATATCTGTTGGAGGGAAATGGCTGAGCGCTCACTCACTAATAGAAACAGGAATACAAAACCAGGCAAATGAAAAAATAGCGACTGACACAAGAGGGCAGTCCTTCACTTTTCAGTGTATTGCATTTTGTCACCGCTGGGAACTGCTTTGCCAGAGACGAGCTTTTGGTGTCGCAGCAGAGAGGGTGCTTCTAAAGCTGGGGTTTGCCCAGTTCTTCAGAGATTCCTCTGCAATGGAAGGACTGAGCTGGCTTGAGGATAGGGGAATAATCACAACGGTTTGACTGCCCTTCCCTTCCCGCTTTTGCTTGCGGAACGCTTCTGTCTTACGTATTGTCAGCAGTACCTGACAGGCTGTCTCCCAAACTGCAAGGAGACCTGTTTCCAGTTGGTTACGGGGGGTGATAGCTCTAGCTGCAAGACCCCAGTCAAAACCCCGAATGTCCGCAGAGTGCTTCCAAGTCAGATCTGGTTCCATCACCGCCTGGATTAATAGAAAAACCTGTCTCTCTCTGGGGCACCTCTGTTGCTGATCTGCTTCAGTCAGAGTCACCCCGCAGTAACCTGTCACTACCCTCCTTAGCTGCACACTCCCACAGCCATTCCCCAGACTAAAAGAGAACTACTGGACTTGTCTCTTCTTTAGGGAAGGACGGAGTAGGCAAAGAGGAAGTTACGCTGCAGGAACTGAGTTTCCCTATGTAGTTTCTGTGTGTATGTAGGAAGCAAGTGTTGTTTGACACAGGAGAGTGAACAAGCACTTAGGTTTTTCTCTGACTTCCTAAGAAGAAGGGCATAACCTGGTGTTTTCTTTCTAACACATAAGCAAAAGTCTTGCGTCTTGCTCAGGGTCTTGCCTTAGAACATGACTCATTAATTCAAACATAAAATATCAGTTAACGTAAACTACTGGCCTAATCAGCCTGCAGGAACAAAGAATTTTCTTTGTACATCAGATGCAGCTTGGTTTGCTCCTCACCTGTTTTCAACAGTAATGCCTCAGCCCTTCATCAAAATCATCTGACTCCTCACAGAAAACTCATAATCAAAGATGTCCCTGCCCCTCTGTTTTTGAGGAAGCAGATTATCCTCACAACTGTTTATTATTTACATCTCCATTTAACAGGTTTCTTCAGCCCAATAGCACTGTAGAGGTTATATCCCTCCAGACAGAGAGACCGTAACTAGGGGATTTACAAATTCTGTTTCAATTCCTGCAGCAAATGCCTTCCCATCTTGAGAACAGTTTACAGTTGTGTAGTTCATCAATTAGAATCACTGTTGCGTGTGGGAGCAGTGAGAGAAAATGACCCCTTAATGAACTAAGGTCAGAAAAAAGAATTGAAAGGGCAGTCTCCTGAATCCTGGTCTATACGAGCAACAGCTTGAAAATGCTGCTCCCATATGCCTTAGGTAATGCTGAGCAGCAGGAAGAGGAATGGAAGTGTCCATTGATCACCTGGGTCTTTTCTGTTGGATTGGGCAAGTCAGAGAAAGACAGGTCTTCTTTGTTGTTGATGCCTCCAAAAATAGCTTTAGTAGCCAGCTTCCCCTCAACAAGCATTTTTGCAGTATGACTGGGAAGAGGACGCTGGGAGCTCCTAATGCTGCTCTAGGGTAAGTTAAAATGAACTTCTTTAGTTTAGCTGCTGTTTTAAAAAGCACTAACTAAATCCAAAAATGTGGAATGGAGGTTAATGCTGTTTTCATTTCTACTGCTGTTTTCCATGGAAGTTTCTGGCTTGACTCTTGCTTTGTGTTCTGCAAAGCTCTGTTTACCTCCTGGAGTGGGATCTGACTTCATAATCCTTGAATACTTTGGTTTGTTGTTGATGCTCTTAACGAGGCTCAAACGGCAAGTGAGATACTTTCAAAAGCACCTAACCTAGATGGACATAGAGTTCCTAACCTTTGTGTTTGTTCTGCTGAGCATGTAGAAGGGAAATGAGGGCTAGGACTTCTCTTAAACTTCACATGTTCTTACTGAGTAGGCCCTTGGTTTTGTCAGGGGAGGTATTTGGAATGTAAATGGTTATTTGCCTTAGATTTGGATGTTGCACTGTTAAAGTCAGAGGAAGAAAGATTCTGCTGTAGAAATAGAGCTTAATTTAGATTCAGTTTTATTCCTTTTATGCTCAGCTGGAGGGGGAGTCTAAGAATTCTGATTTGTCAGTCTAGTGGTTTTCACTAGATCCACTCGAGTCTGATTATATCTGCACAAGCTTTGTGACATCCCTAAGGGAAAAGCCCCCTTCTGTAATTACCCAAAGTGCATTTTTTTTTATTGCAATTTGAATTTGGTGCTCGTTTGGCACTATTGAGCATGCGATTTTTTTGTCTCTCATCTGTCTGAAATGATCATTTTGGTAGTTATGATCCGTTGTTATTTGCTGGCTGTGTGAAAGAGCCTACAATGGGGAGAAGTACTGCTGGAGAAGCTGGTGCTGCCATCGCCGTCAGCAGCCGGCAGTCCTGTCTCTCCTCTCACACATGCACTCATGGTGAGCACTTGTGCTCAAAGAGAAAAGCCAGGCTTGGAAGTAAATTGCCTCAATAATTCATAGGCTTTATAGCCCAGAGCAAATTATACCTTGGCTCTGTCATGAAATTCAGGCTGCAAATCCCTTTATAGCCAAGCTCGTTAACAATATAAGTGAAGTGGTACATCTGTAATGGTTTTTCTAATCGATGCATTATAATCTTTGGAGAGTATTAAGTGGTAAACCTGCAGCATCCAGAGGGAAGCAGCAGCAAGGTCTGGATACAGGAAGAGTCAGAGAAAGCCGTTTCTTTTCCTGCCCTGCAGTTGCCTTTGTCTGCCTTGCTGCCTCTAAGCAGCTTGGAAGGTTTGGTTTCTTTGTCTTTTAACTGCTTTTTGACTTTAGCAGACGCTGGTTTTGAGGGAAAAGAATCACTGCTGTTGCCAGTACTGATGAGTGGGACACTTAGACACATGTGCAAAGCCTTATCGCGCGTGG